GAGTTGAGTGCAAGATAAGCTTCCTGCTCGCGAGAAAATCATGTTCGACTCAAGGAGGAATTTCCTCTTGTAGAGACGCTCGATCTCGAACATTAGTAAGGTTTGGAAGAAAAAATTGAGGGCTACGAGTGATTTTGAGGTGTGAAAGGGTATGGAGCAGTGTGCAGAAGTGTGCGAGAAGAGGGTTGACGTTGCTTATGCAAAGGGAAGTCGAAACAAGCAAAGGAAATCGGTTTTAGCGAATCTTGTGCAGGAGGCAACCAAACCAATCATTTAAGAAAAAAGCAGGTTAGGGTTTTAATTTTTGTGTTTTATTTAATAAAAATTTTTTTGATACATGATTATTCCAATTGAAGAGAGAAGTTGTGACGTCATTAAAGATAAGTGTTTAATTGGAGGTTAATTATAGTCAAATAAATGTATTAAAATAAGTTTTGTTGCTTATCAATGTTATAAATTTGAGGTAGAGAATATTTGGATACAAAATTGAGAAGATTTATCAACATGAATCATATTAGGGCTTTATGTTTAGTTAGAAGTGATTGCTTTAAATTGATATTGATAATTATGATTAGTAAGTAAGTTTTATTGAATGATATTGGATTTTGGCATAAGGTGGAAGGAGCTGTTATATTCTAGGAAAATAAAAGAGAAACCAAGGGAAGTTTTACTTATGTCTTTTAATTAGAAATGCCAATATTTAAAGTGTAATTGAGAACTACTGTAGGATTTTGAGAATAATTATAGAATTAAGATGATTAAGAGAATAAAATAAACATAATGTTATTGTTTTTTTTATAGACACTAAATAAGGGAGGAAAGCAAAGATTAAGTGTCTTCAAGAATCATCAAATAAGATCAAGTTGAATAAGTATGTTTCTAAATTACAGTAATATTTTTTACTCTAAATATTTTTTTATTTTAGTTTTTCGCACTTTATATTATATATCATTGAGGCTTAAGATTATAATTGACTTTTCATATTGTTCCGCTTTATAAACATTTGCATTATAATTTTTCAAAGTGGTTATATGATTACGTGATATGTAGATTTAGGTATATGTGCATATATCAGTTTATTACATGACCTTTAGATTTAGTAAGTTTGTACTTTTTAATCAGTATGTAGAGGTAAAAAATGTTTCATAAGAAAAGAATGCATAATATGAAGAATGAATTAATGTATATATGAATGTTTGCATGTGCATGCTAAGAGGAGTTTACCCCTTTATGGTGCATGCTTGAGACGTCAGTGTACTCACACATGTAGATATTTTTCTATCATCTTAAACAATTTTGATATTTAGACTGCTAACTGCCGTGCTAACTAGAGAATATCGGTCATGGGCGAGTAAACACTTTTCCACCTCAAACAATTGTGTAATCTACTTCAAAACATCATAAACTGTTTTTCCAATGAAATGATATCAGTTAGGGGTGTATTAGATTATGTTCGATGGTGCTCCTTAGAAGGATATGAAAGTTAAGAATATGAAGTATACTAAAGTTTAAGAGATTATAAATTGAAAAGTAATATAAAAGAGAATACATGTAGAAATTCTAGATTTATTTCATGAGCAAAGATCAAGTATATAGATTATTAATTATTATATGATTCTTTAGAATATATTAGTAGAGACCAACATGCATATTATTTTATTTTACTTGATTGATTGCTCCATTGGGTTATCTTAGCTCATTTCATTGTGTTAAATATTTTTTCAGGTTTCATTTTTTGAATAAGACGAATACTATAAAAGATCTATGTACAGAAGACGAGGTATTAACCTGAAAAGTAAAAAAAAATTATTTGCTAATTAAAATTCTTTCTATAGTGGTTCTTTCAGTTAATTGGCCGAATTGTGACATCTATCATGTCTCATGCCATTATGACATTTTTGGGTGAACCTAAGAGTTTTTGCAAGAGCTCATTATGGTATCTGTTGGGGTGGGACTCGAAGCCTTTCTTGTAGCATAAATTGTGCTGTGCTTAGAGCACTCCTTGTAATCTTTTTGATATAAAACTATCCAAAGGTTAAGCAGTGGTGTCTCCCTTTTTTATATGACCTTTAAACATCTATAACACCTTACTACACTTCCAAAACGTATTGAAATAGTCTCAATTTAATTTCATGAAGATTGGTGATGCCAAGGCTGTGCAATACTTTATTCATATTTAATCAATAGGTTTCTAATGACATATTTCTATTAAAATTTTGAATTCATCATGAATTTAAATTTATTTAAGCTGTCTCAAAGGCATCTTAATTTATTAGAACTAAATGAAAATATGACACTAAATAGGACGCAATGGAGAAATTGGATTCATGTAGCCAACCCCATGTAGTGGGATTAAGGCTTTGTTGTTGTTGTTGTTGTTGTTGTTGCTGTTGTTGTTGTCTCAAATATATACATTATCTCAGAAGCAAAAATCTGCATGTGTTCAAATAAATATGTTCTCATGCTGAAATTTGTGAAGGAGACATAAAGTTGGTTACAAACTTGCGGCTTCCTTGGTTGCTTGATAAAGAAATGATTAGGGCCAAATTTTTTATTATGAAAGTTCAACCTCTATGTCCTTAATAAATACTAGGAAGCGGATTCTACCAGCACTTTTGGGATTTCTATTAGTCTTCAACAATTCAAATATTGTATCAAACCTGCCTCAACAAATACTCTGAACATGTAGATTCTTACGTTGTGGTTTTGAACAAAATATTGTTTGTGATTGGGCTGCAAAATTGTCAAACATAATAATTCTTTTATTAAAAAGTTAAATTCTACATACTCTTAAGTGTAATATACCGATCCTTTGCTTAAAAGAAAAGATAACATAAACTTTGAGCGATGCCCCATATACTTTAATCTTCTTTAGAGATTATACTGTGAATCCAAATGATTCAAATGATATTTTAAGGGGTGGACATACTTTATGGACATAATTGGCGTCAATAGATGACACACAACATCAAATAGTTACTGCAACGAATAAATGCTCACTTCAATGCATCAAAATGCCTGCAAGTAATCTCTTCAACATTTAATATTCTTAAACTTAATTGAAGGTTCTAGTTGATACTTGCAGTGACTCAAGAGGATTATAATGTCTTCCACAAGGGTAATGAATGATCAAATGTTCTTTTTTAGACCAAATTATTGTAACGCCTCCACCCAACATCTCAATTTAATGTAATTTTGACTCATTTGGTCCAAAAATTAGATCAAGAACCGGAATTTGATCTCAATATACATCAAAAGTCATTAATTCAAGGGTCCTTATGAGTCATAAATTTAATATATACATTAAAATTTGCGCTGCGTCGAAAACTTAAATCAAGATAACCCAACGTATTATTTTGCTTGCTTATAATGCGAAGTTTAAGATCTACAAGTTGGGCGTAACTTATCTCTAATTTATAATATAATTTTATAAGGCTTATTATTGGTTTTCTTCTTCTTTCAGTTTGCAAGTGTCAATTATGAGCCTTTTAATGGATAAAATTTCCAATCCAATTTAATCAAGATGATATGAAGCCAGTAAGTCTGTCAAGACAAGTTTATTTAATGGGAACAACACAATACCAATTAGCTCATCCAACCATTTTGACTAATTTGAGTCTGGACAAAACTAACCCGTTCAATCAAACCCTGGGCTTTCAAGATGTAAAACACAACCAACCAAAACTTCCATCAATTCTCATGTTTACAAGCCCACCATTGAAAATCAAATATTTCAATTAAAATCAGACAAACTAAAATCCCATACTTCTAAGATATATCTTCATTTCAAATTGAAATTTATAGCATTTATAGTTTTGCCATACCTCTGAGTTATTGTTGGTCCTTGTACCTTTGAGTTACAAAACACCTTGCTTTGTGATTTTAAAATATTTAATGTAATTTTTATCCTTTGTCACTAAAAGATTTGGTATTAATCTCAAAACATTTCTTTGATACACATGCATACTTCTACCTTGGTTGTTCGTGAGACTGAGTGTAGAAATCCACCCATGATTGATAATTAGGCTCTTTGGACATTATTGTTTGAAGTCTTCTGCTGCTAGTATGCTTAAACCACGGTTCAACCCGAGTGATGGAAACATAGGATCTTATTCGGGTTCACCTGCACCACTCAAATTACTTTAATTGAATTCACATTTTATTTTGAATTTTAGCCTAAAAAAGCTCTTTTGCTGCGAGTTCTTGTGCGTAGGAGGGGTAATTAATTATAGGGACTTTCATAGGTACAAAATCTAAACCCTTGATATAATTAAACTGTGGTTTTGAGTTAGCACAACTTTGTTTAAACCAAATCTAATCCAACTTATGGAATACTGTTCCTGAATTCTCTTGCACATTGGGAATGTTTAAGGGATTTGCTTTTTCCTGAATTATCGTTGAGCTCAATTCCATGGGAATCTAGCTGATGGATCTGTTTCTAGCATACGAACATTTATTGTTTGCTTTTTATTTTGTTAAAAACAATGAGGTTACTTGTTATTGGATCCAAAAAATAATGAGAAAATTTTTAATCCTCAGACATATAAAACCTAATTCTTTTGTTTGTTTTCATCGATTTTATAAGCCTTTTGAAAACCCAATTCTAGATTTATTAGATCATATTTAGGTAAACATAAAATTATTTTGAATGTTCCTACACTAATTTATAATATAATTTTATAAGGCTTATTATTGTAAAATTTACTGCACACATTTTTTCTCCAAATATTTTTCTTTAACTTGTTTAAGTAGCTTGAAAAGCTCAAATAGAATTTAAATTATTTTAAATAGGAATCTATTAATTCAATCTCATTTTTATTGTTTTCTAAAGTTTTAGCCATATTTTCTAATTAATATTGATGAAGTGATGAATATATTATGAAAGTATGTCTTCGGCTGCGATTAAACTTATTCATCACGCTTGAAGAGTTTTGTGGTTATTTTTTTTACATTGTTTGTATAATGTAATTTATTTTTCATTTTTCTGAACTCACCTGAAGATTCGAGAATACCATAGGCGCCACCCACTTGCACGTGTTATTGATCCTACTGAGGAGTTTGAGGAGTTGCTTAAAGAAGAACCACACATTGAGTTTAGCGGCGAGGTAAATATCATCTTCTATGGGCATCTGAATACCATTTTCATTATCTATAACCTATCTAAGTTTGTAGCAATTTTACAAATTTAACTGGGTGCTGTTTTTTTTCCAAAATATTGCTGACACAATCGGGTGAATGCTTCTTGGAGTAGGCGATCCAGTCATATGAACTTTTATGAAAATGCATCTTTCTCATTCGGCTTCTGCATTGTTACATATTTTTTTTTTAGATTGTTCTTAATGATATGCTTGCATATAATTGTAGTGGATTTAATTGGTGGTAGTGCTGCTATGCTCTTCTTTCATCCGTTCTCTCTCCCTGCTTTATTTCTATGAATCTTCTCTTTAGAAAGGGCATATCTAGTGCATATGGCTTTTCATCCGTATGGAGTGTGGGAAGGTTGGTGTATGCATCCTTATTCATTGTTGATAATTTGTTTCCATGGTTCCAACCTATCATCTCAAGGTCACAGGAAGGCAACCTATGATTGTTCTTGACCTTATTTATTCTTCTATTCATGGAAGCTACAAGGAGGAATATAAAATTCAAAATTGGAAGATGCAAATTATCTTTTCATTCTTATTCTTATTGATTTTTCCCTTCATTAAAAGTAGGAAACTGCAAATTTTTTTTTTTTCATTTTAACTCTTGTTTATTTTTTACCTGTGCTTTAATGTGGATAAGACAAACTAAAAATTCTACTGTTTTTTGCATTTGTGATATCCATGGGCGGTATTTTTGATGCTTTAGTAATAGCAATTGTGAGATGGTAGATTATTTTCCTTACGGATCTTGTTAATTTTTTTAAAACTTGTGGAGACCGGAGCCCAGAGGAATTGAGATTATGTAGTTTTCTGCTTGTATATTTAACCATGTAGGACAAGAATGCTGTTGTTGGTGTGTTATCTTTTGTGAGGTTTTGCTAGTTAAATAATTATATTTTAATACATCAAAGTTATATAGTGTGATGAGTACTACCAGTCAACAATGGCACCGTTTTCTCATTTTAAGTTGTGAATACTTGTGTAGATGAGTCCATCATGAATGAATGATTTCGGCTCTTTCTATTGTTGTCCATTTTAGCTTCGGTATGCTGTTATAGTACTAATTGTTTTGCTTTTACTTGGATTTGCCAGAGCAGAGATATCAATTTAGAAGCTGTGTTGTGATATATGTATTTTAATTTCTGCAGGATTTTATGATTTTGGGTGTAGGATCATCCTGGCATGCATGGTAAGATTTAGGCTGCTGTTGACCAGCCGTAGAGCCTACTTGGATCTATGTTATCCTCTTGTTTCTCAATTTATTTGTATTTATTCTTTTTTGCGTTTTACCCATCATTCATCAGTCAACTTATAATTGTACGCCCAACCTGCAATCTCTGACACTAAATATTGTTGAATTATACGTGAACTTTACTATAACCGATTCTGATATGTACGCAGGAAGCTTTTGGTCGGTATCTTGACATGCATGAGTTGTATAATGAGTATATTAACTCAAAGTTCGGGGAGCCTATTGAATATTCAGCATTCCTGGATATGTTTTCTCAGTTCCACAAGGTTCCTCGCCACCTAAAGCTAACAAGGTAGTCTACATTTGGGGAATTCCATGTATTATTATTGAGTTCATGTTTGCTAAGAATATCCTGTTTAGATTTGCTTGTCACTTGATTTACTCGGTGGGACTAATGGCGAGCTAATAGTTGGCTGGTGGATGGATCCTCTAGTCATCAGCTGCCATGCCGACCAAGTGATAATCCACTAGTTTTTCTTGCTCTGTAAGGTTGCGTTTGGGGCAGCTTGTGCTTATCTAGAGATGCGGGCTGCGCTATGCATTTAGTGTAAAAAAACCATCTGTGTTTTCAGATAAGCTGCTCTAACCCAGTTTCCAAACGATGAGGCGGCATCTTCAAAATGTTGCCGCAGTGGATAAGCTGCCCCAAAAGGAGCTTAAATAAAGCTGAAGGATTAAAAACCTCTCAAAAATACTTTTCTTATCTACATTTTTTCTATTTTCTCTGTTCAATGCCAAGATTTAAAGAGTTTACATTCAATATATCTTAATTAACTCATCTTTTGATTGTAGTTTGGTTCCACATGAAAACTATTGTGAGAAAATTTTGTTTTTTACTTAGTTCCTTCATTGTTTAGACTTCAAAATAATATTTTTGCTGATGTGCTGTTTTCATTACAGTGCATTAATACGTGCAATAAAAATTGCAGGCACTACAAAGACTACTTGACGCACCTACTGGAGTATCTTATATCATATTTTGAGCGTACAGAGCCCCTGAAAGATCTCGGAAGAATATTTTCAAAGGTTTCTTTTGCGAATTTTAGTTCTTTTATTTGAGGCTTGAGTTTTTTTTTGGTTATTGCTACTAACATACATGTCCACTATCAGCTTTTTTTTTTTAATATTTTATATTATATTGTTTAGCAATCTCAAAAATTGTGAAAAACAACTGTTGTACTGCTGAAATTTCTCATTGAAGCGATGAGTAATTACAAGTGATTGATATATATATACACACATGCACGCATGCCCGCGCGCACACACATACACATACATACATACATACATACATACATACATACACACATGTTGCATTTGAAATATATGTATATATATATATATAAACACACACACACAAAGAGAGAGAGAGAGAGAGAAAGAGATGCAAATATATAAGTAGATGGTAATAATGTAATACTTTAAATTAAAATAAAGTTTTTATTGAAATACCAAAATATATGGATACATTTTAGTGACATTTAGATATTTTATTTTTTTATCAAACAAATAAAACTACATAAATATTTTTCTAGAGTACTCAAAAATATACTAACTAGGCTTTTGAAACTATTTTGACGACCAAATAATCAAAGATGAAAGCAAAGAATGTTTGAATTAATTACCTTCGAACGACTAGGGCAACCCACACTAGAGCCGCTCGACTAGGGTATGTTGGGCCAGTTCTTCGCTTCAAGGCTCAATCGGTTCTCCACCTTCAAGCACGAAGCTACTCGCCCTTGCTTCGCGCTGCTTCGCGTCCAGCGACGAAATTGCTGCGTGCTTCTGCGGTTTTGTAGTTGGTTTCGTAGTTTCCTCCGCGCCATTTCTGTGGTTCGTGTCTTCTGCCAAGTTTATGCTGAGATTTCCGCTGCGGTTTGCTGAGATTTCCGCTGCGGTTTCGACATCCGCGGTTCGTCTTTTTTTACCCTTGGCCCTACTTGCAGGGTTTTTTTTTGCTGTGATGGAGCTTCCTTCTTCGGTTGAGTCTGATAAAAACTCTTTTGCTCACATTGTGGGTAATCTTTAGGGGGAGACGACGGTTGTCTTCGCTTCTAGTTATAAGAAGAATCGTGATGGTATAGGTGACTGCCCCTTTATTAAGAATGCAAGCAGGAAGAGTGGGAAGACAACACTATTTTTCTCAGAGTCAGAAATTTCAACCTTGACTGACAAATTCAAATTTGCTCTCATCGGAAATTTTTAGTGGGGACACCCAACTATGAAAGTTATCAGGAAAATTTTTGATGACATCAAATTAACAGGAAAGTGGAAAGTGAGGCTCATGGATGGAAGACATGCTTTGATTCAGTTAACCGTGCCTGAAGACTACACTTGTATTTTCTCCAAAAAAAATATCTTAACATTGCTGGTAAACCAATGAAGCTACTCAAGTGGTCTCCTGATTTTGACCCCAATCATGAACCTCTTACTGTATCGGTATGGTTTAGTCTACCTGGTCTCAAGCTGCATTTTTTTCATCATCAGGTTCTCTACTCTATTTGTGCCATACTTGGGGACCCTATGAAGCTAGATCTACCCACTTTCAACCTTACCAAACCTTCTATAGCCATAATACTTGTGGAAAAAATGTTACTTTACTTGATGTTACTGAAGTCTGGTTGGACACAATGCATAATGGATATTGACAACAAATCGTTATAGAGCATAGACCTTCTGATTGTTCTCATTGTAAGATGTTTGAGCATACCCCTGATAAATGTCGTAAGCTTCACCCTAATTTGAAATCTAAAGATCAAGTTAATAAGGATGGTTCTAAGGATGTATCTGTACCATCTGGAGAGAAAGCTACCACATGACAAATTTTGGTGTCTAATTCTATTGCCCCTATCCTTACTGTTATTGCGAGTGATGTGATGCTGACACCTTCAAACCCCATAAAAAACAATACTGATGGACTATTACCTACAAATGATAGTGTTCAGACTGATAATCAAGAGAGCCACGTAGCTCGACTTCTTTAGGAAGTATCCGGTGTAGAGGCAACTCATACTTCACATATACTAGAACCTATTGTGGGTACTACGGTTGGTATTCCTTCTGCTTCAACTCTACCACTCCATCAGATTGATTCTTCAGATGAGGAATGACAGGTTTATTCCAGGAGGAAGAAGAAGAATGGAGACCGACTCCAACTCGGGAACATATTGGATGATATATTGGTTACTACTGGCAATGACAATCATCTTACCAACTTATTAGCTTGCTCATTCCCTAAAACTAGAGGCAGAGGCAAGATCAAATTGGGTCGCTCTCTAGCCACCTGATACTATGTATTTCGGCACTGTTAGGCTTTTTATTTTAGTATCTAATGTATTTTATGTTTTTTCTAGTTTTTAAGTATTTTGTGACTTTTTGTGTGGACAGGGTGCCATGCTTGGGCCCTCCCACACATTGTATCTGTATCTTTTTTTTCTATTTAATATATTTGCCTTTTTTGGGCTTTCAATGTATAGATATAGATATAGATATAGATATAGATATAGATGGGGCTCATTAAGCGGTCATTAAGGCTTCACTGTACATTAGCTTTTTTCTTTTTTCTTTTTTTTGAATCAAAGTTAGTGATTTTTACCATTAAATAGTCTCCTGAAGATACTTGTTTTGACATATTCTTATGATTTTTTTTCTAAGCATGTACTGCATTTTTGGTTGAATGGTTTGTGGGTGAATTATTGAATTATGGTTGAAATTCCTTTTTGAGACTGTATTTCATGTTTTAGATTATGTTGCCTTAGTTATGAGAAAGGAGACGTCACTCATGGTATCTTCCCAAAGGTCCTTTCATTTGTGACAGTTAGTCCTCTAGCCAGCCTTGCTCCTTTTTTTAATCTATTTTTATTTTATGTGTGATGTTAAGGATAATTGAAGTCTTCTCGTCTTATATTTCTTGCTGAACAAAAATCTTGTTGATATATCTGATAGCAAATTACATGAAAGCCTAACTTCCCATTCATGGTCTAGCCGGTCTAGCTTAACAGAATTTGTAGGGAATATGTATGCAAGGGGACTCATTGAGCAGCTACTGAATAGTTCATATGTATTAGCTTCCTTCTTATTTTTAAAACAAAGTTACGAATTTTTACTATTAAATATTTTTCTGATGATACTTGTTTTGACATTTTTTTGATTTTCTTTCTATGCATGGACTACATTTTTGGTTGAATGGTTTGCGGGCGAATTATTGAATTATGGTTGAATTCTTTCTTGAGACTGTATTTAATGTTTTAGATTATGTCGCCTTATTTATGAGAATGGATACCTCACTCATGGCATTGTCCCAAAGAATAGACTTTGTGGCCTCGATGGCAAGGAACCTTTTATTTGTGATAGTTAGGCCTCAATCCAGTCCTGTTCCATTTTTTATCTATTTTTATTTTATGTCTGATGTTAAGGGTAATCGAAGTCTTCTCATCTTATATTTCTTGTTGATTTATCTGGTAGAAAATTACATGAAAACCTAACTGCCACCCCATTAAACCATATCACAATGAAGCTCTTCCACAATGTACATAGAAATATATATATCTGTTATTTTTATTACAATTATCCCGAAATTATTTTTAACAACAAATACCTTAACAGTTTAAACCATACTAATCACACGCAATAACTTACTGTGGATAATATATATATATATATATCTGTGTGTGTGTTTGTGTATGTTAAATGTATTACTTACTAGGTTTATTGCAGGTCGAGTCTGAGTTTGAGGATCGATGGGCTGATGGCAAGATCCCTGGATGGGAAAATAAAGATATGGATAATGGACATGTTCAGTCACAGGAGTCTGTTATCGATCTTGATTATTACAGCACCATCGAAGAGCTCATGGAAGTGGGCCCAGAGAAGCTAAGAGAGGTATGTCTGCGATGCAACCAAAGAATTAGATTTACTATTTTTTTTAGTATTTTGGAATTTATTTTGTCTAAATTAGAATTTTATATTTAATTAATTTTTTAGTAGAATTAATTTTTCCTTTTGATGATATTGTTTTAATTTTTGATTAATTGAGATTAAATTTGATCAGAATACTTAACTTTATCTTTGTTGATTTATTATTATGAATAGGATATATGGATGAATTGAATAACAAGGTTCCTTCCCTAACTTCGCTCCCGATGTCTTCTATTTTCTTGGTGGCTTTTTATGAATTGATATTATAGCTTCGAGGATCATGGGCTTTGTAGCTCATGTTCGCCTCTTGTCTTCAGCTGCACTCACTCTTTTGCACTGCCTCTTTGCATTCATTGCTTATTAGTTGCAAGTCGATTTGATGCCCTAGCTGCACTGCAACACCTTTCTCTCTAGCGAGACATGCATTCATAGCTGTGTCCAGTCTTTCACTAACTTATTCCATGCAGCCTCTGGCCATTTCCCACACAGCGGCATATCTTAAACTACTTCAAAACCATGCTTCTTGCTTTTCTCTCATTCAATTTTACATTCTTGCCTATTTGTGCGATTGTTATACTCATACTTCATTAATTTCATCATAATTTCTTCTCGTACTAGCATACCTCAACCATTAGTGACTCAATTTCTTTCCCTGCTTCAAAATCAGGGAAGATTGTAAAAAATATTATGAAGATCTTCAACCATGGTTTTGGGCTTTGTGAATTTATTTGATTTGTTTATTTTAACATCAATACAACTAAGGATATTGAATTTTTCAAGATGGGCTTGTCAATGGGTTCGGTTGTAAGTCGTTTGAAGTATTAGTCCTATTGACATAGTAATAGAGGTACAATCGATTTGAACATCGATTCAATGAACGAAGTGAATAAATTAATTTCCTGATTTGGAAACTCAATTCGATCTATCTATCATGAGATGGGTTAGGTACTGGTTTGGATTGATCTATCTTGTATGTGGGTATAGTACCTAGGTTCTATACCATAACACCTTAATTTCTGACAAGTATCCCCTTTATACGTATTCTATAGTTATGTTGTTCATATTTACATTTATATTATTTGATTTATCATTTAATAGATCTTTAATTTATCTTCCTAATAATATCAAATAAATATGTTATCATTAAAAGGATTGTCATCATCAAGATCATTAGGACTTCTATCTCTTTCTCAATTTCTATGATTGAGCCTACTGACATTCATACTTCTCCTTGTACAGGAGTCGAAGCATTTTCAAGTAAATCCAAAATTTTATTTGATTAACCTGACTTGACATGGTTCCTGGATTGGATATGGGTCAAACCTATTCTGATTTGAATTTTAATTCGTGTGACATGTTTTTTGGATTGGAGCTGGGTGGGATTTGACCTAATATGAACTGGATCCATTAACAGACTTCGTTCATGATACATACCTTTTAAGCGGACGATACATGACAAATACAAAAGGACACCTATGGACTTTCAAAATTCTTAGTATTCACAATATAGATAGTGATATTAATTTGTTTAACATATTTTATTTAGGTCGTAAGCATCAATGGAAGGAAGATTATTAAATATGATTTATGCTTGGCTAAGGATAATTAGATGATCACTTAGGAAAATTGACCTCAACCTGAAGTCTTCTTGATGTGTTAAGTGAAATTCGAGAACAATTTTGCTTGAAATAGATTTGGTTGTTTTTGCTGAAGTTTTTAGTGATGACATTATGGCTTATTTAGATTTAGAGTTAGACTTTTTGCGCGTGCAAATCCTTATAATTAATCACCCCTTGTCGAGGTGGTATAAGAACTGATTAAGAATTTTGCATAGACTTAATTTTAGTTTCAAATTTTACATTTAAATTTAAGTTTGATTGATATAGAATGATTGGGAGGGTGAAGACTGACCCCCCGATCTTGATTTCATGATTTAATCATCCTGGGTTTATCTATCAACGTTAGAGGGCTTTTAGCCATAATAATTAGGGAATTTGATTAGCAACCATGGGTTGCTTCATCTGAAGTATTCCAAGAAGATTGGGGTTAATGCGTGCTTTTGAGGTTGATGCCAATCCATTCATTGGCGGGGGGCTGGCTATATCAATCTTCACTAAATAATTCATAGCAAATAACACCGTTACTTATAGTTCAGCATTAATTAACATGATTAGTGATGGCTTATAGAAATAATGTGATGTATTGAAAAGGCTTATTTGGGGACCTTTGACTTTAATTGCTGGATTTTTTTTTTTGTAATTGATGGGCTTGTTACTATAAGAGTTTGCCTGAGTTTGGCTTGGGGATTACATCCTTGGAAAGCCCAATGATGGAACAATTAGTCAAATCGGTTTGAAAGCTTTGATGATTTATGTTGGCTTTAGTAGTTGGGGTTTTGGGCTTACATTCTTTGAAAGACTCATAAGTGGGACTCACGATCTCAGGGATATAGCAAGTCTAAAAATGGCTTACAACCTTGTGGCGATGTGTAATTTAGTAAGTTGATTGAGTTGATGAATCATTAGGTTCAATAAGGGTAAGCACAAGTCCTTTATTTGTCTGTTTGATCAACTAGGATGTCATATTCTATTAGAACACATCATATAACATAAAAGAGAAAACTATAATTAATTAAAACCAGGGTAAAACCACATTTTCAAAGTTAGAACGGAGAAAATATTGGCTTATAATCTTACTTACAACCAGAAGAAGATGATGACGAAATCCTAGACTTCTTTTTTCAAAAATAGGTGCAACTGCACAACCTAAGGTTCAATTCTTCTTTACGTTGAAGGGCTCACTACAATCAACACCTCTCGCCAGCTTGGCTCAGCTGCATTGCAAAATGTTTCTTGATTTCACCTTTTTTTCTCTGCTCGCCGCATGTTTTTCTTCTTGAGATTGATTTTATGCCTTGCTCTCTTGACGTGATCTCACGATTTAGTTTGCTATGCCTTCGAAGCATTTCACGCTCCATCTCAAGTCTTTTTGTCTTTCTTTCACTCAATTTGCATGGGATTCACCCTCTAAATCTTCCCTTTATAATTACAAACTAATTAGCATCGATTCAGTTGAACCAATGTTGATCGGTTCAGTTTTCCGTTTTTTAATATGTATTTATATATGATGTTTAATAAGTAATATAATTAGTTTAATTAAAGTTTATTTTTATTTATTTTTTTTTCTGGCAATTATTTATTAGATTATTTTGTAATTATTTTATAAAACTTAATATTAATATTTTTAAATTAATTTACATAAATTTGGATCATTACAACATCTGCAATATCTGTCAAGGTGAGCCTCACGACCTTCTAAATGCAAGAAAACTATCGAAATTCATGGGGAGATGTCTATTTACAAACTGAATTAGTGTACATGTTTTGAACTTCCATAATGTAAGTATGTAACTCGCGTCTCTAGCATGACATCTATCTATGTGAGCCTTGTAGTCTTTGCAGTTTCATACTTGTGCATTACTTCAGCATAGCATCTGCTGAGTGAGGCTCACAGTCTTCTTGACACAAACTTATCCAAAAAATATGGCAGGTGTTATTGATCTTCAATGCTTTATTACATTTTGATAGATGTCAAAAAATATTTGTAGCATTTAGCTCGTGCTAGCACACTTGATGATTGTATCTCTTATGATTTCTTTTTGTTAAATATTTTAACTCACTATTATTCTAAAAACATTTAGAGTTTTTCAAATAAAGTATTGTGGCAATAACAATCTTGGTATATTCAGATAGAATATGCTCTACTGATTCATTGATGAGGTATTGTGGAGGTGACATAAAATTGAGTTACAAAGTTTAAGCAAATTGATTAGTGCCAAAATTTAATTATTATTAAAGTGCTTTTCCGAGTTTTTAACAAATATTTGGTGTGCTACAGATTGGATAAATTTATTTTTTGGATTATTTCTAACACCGAATCTTCAAATAATGGAACTGATTACTAGGCATATAGGTTTTCAGAAAGAGCTTAAAAAAAAAAATTGGGAGGTGCCATTGTCCCAAATCTATCAACCATAACGAATAGATAAATAAGTGATTGTAGAGATAAATATCAATTCTATACATTCCAATATAATTACTGGTCATATACTACGGAATGGAAGGTCATAAAAACTTTATGCATTATGTTAAGCATTTTAATTTACCAAAAGAAAGTGTGACATGACTGAACAATTTGAATGACATTCAAGAGGCAAAGATGCATCATAGTATGCCTACTGTCCATAAATGATGTATAAATGTCAATAATGGTGCGAATGAATCGATGACCGTGTTGACACATCAAAATGTAAGGAATTACACTGAAGGTTTTGATAGAACCGTGGGGCGCCCTAAGAATACTATTATTTTCTCTTGAGCATTATGAATTACCAAAATGCACTACAAGGATCAAATTATTATAATGCTCAATGGACTTGATTCAAATGCACACAATGTTGGTGACCTTGCAAATTGAATAAAAAGAGAATGAAGAAAAATTTAAAATTAATTGAAAAATTCTTAATACTTAATCTCGCCCCACGATTAGTAACTGTTCATGCTAGAGTTCTCGTATCTCCCTATTTCTCATTTTGTTTCCACATGACTGTGGGACACTGCTCAAAACTGTAAGGTCCGTCTTCTTTCTTTCCATTTGAACCCACAACCGCCCATACATCTCTCTCTCCATTTCTCCCTTTAGGCCATGTCGGCGCTAAAAAGAGATGGAAGTATTAAAGTTTGGGGGAGTTGCCCGTAAGAAGCTGTCGGTTACCGGAATTGAAATCCCGTTCCCCGCTTCGAAAGGACGTTTAATTTACATATATATGTATAATTTTTAGAAAAATATGAAATCAAACTGACCTCATATTTTTCACAGTTTAAATGAAAGAGCGTTCTACCTCAAATCCTGTATCTATCCCGAGGGATAAACACAAGACTTGAGGATAAGACTCGATCAAATAA